ACTAACGCACAACTTTTGACGGCCGAGCCCGCCCCTGGTTCGGCCAAAGCGCGGAGAAGTCCCCGCGGCACTCTCCGCCACCCCTGTACTCATTTGTATATTGATTATATGCTAACACGCATTGAATCGCCGCTAATCACGGCCGAGGTGGCCAAAGGGCCGGCGCCGTCCTGCTTTATTTACCGGATGTATGCAGATTACGCGGCCGTCTCCCTGGAGCCGGGCGAGGCGAGCCGCTTTGATGGCGCCGGCGGTATCGGGAGATGAAGTGCTTCGGAGGGGCGCACCCCACACAAAGACCGCTCGCCAGGCGGAGAGCGAGGATGGCTGGCGGTTTGTGTGCTGCGTTATCAAACGCTTCGCACAAAAAAGCAACGCAGGAACTGTAGTTTTGCAGCCACATCGAAGCCGTGCGAAAGACAAGTCATTGGACTGTTATTGGAAAGATGAGTTACTGAACTTCCGTTAACCCGCACTCTGCCCGGGCTTCCTGGCTATCTAGCCCGACGGGGGGAGAGAGAAGGGGTGAGGAAGGGGCAATCGGTACCCCAGTCTGTGTAATAACTAAGCAAGCTAAAACGATGCGGTGAAGACCAACGTGATGTTTGTCGCGCAAACTTTAAAGTGACACCTGTTTTTGTGCTTTTGTTCCAATGGCTGAACTCTGAGGTCACGAAAATGACCTGAAGGCGGGTAAACTAATACAAAATCGGGATTTGCAAGTCATTGACGCAACGCAGCGCCGCGGCAATGAAACCATAGCCGTCCTTTGTGTCTTAGGTACAACACGAACTATTGGTACACCGCGTCAGGTACACCTGAGACGCCCCATAGTGGAGTCACTGCACGGTGAACACCGATGATTCTGTTAAGTAGATCATTTGGCCGGAAGTGCTGTATGCTGGCTAAAATGAATCAGAAATGATGTTTTGGATCCGATTCAGCGAAAATAAAGCCGTGGAGGAACTTACAGCCAGAGAAAGTTATTCCAGATCACTAAACCTACTTCCCCCAGGGAGCCAGAGGAATTTGCTTATTCGATTTACTGAGACTCCAGGACATCACTTGATTCCCTGTACATTCTGGCACTGATGTTCCATTGGCATGCTGTCACCTTTGAACCATATTTATCACTATTGTTCGTTACGCGGAGGCGATGTCACATGTGGCATGTCGAAATAGAGAACATAATCGAAACTTCATACATTCCATGTTTTCCATATCGTCGTTAGATTAGAACTGTAGTGCATTGCGTCGGATGGGCTGATGTGAGGTCACCGATCTGACTTGAACTTTGAAAGGTCGGAGATCAACAGACAGCCTTATCAAGCCTGATGTAACACATTGACTGAAGTTTTTGGTTTCTCACTTTTTCGGGCTCACGCCTTCGATAAATTACCAAGTCCGGGCATTACACACCCAGAATGGCTAAGAAAACGGTCCATCTATCGTGCGAGCCATTGTGAATAACCTGCTACGCTTATGACCTGAGATGGCATGCGGCTATATGTGGTCCCAAATTAAATGGATTTTTTCCTTCACATGTGGGACAGGCGTGCGAAACCGCATGACATCAGCCCGTTACATTGGAAAAACGTAAAAAGTTGATCTGGGACCCCCGGCAGAGCGAGCGTCACTCACACACCCTATGCATGTCAGAAGAATAGCACAGTTTTGTCGTTGGTTGGGGGCATTGGTCTATGGATCTAAGGACAACAGAGCACACCGGTGCTAAGAAAACTCATAACTAGCCGCGGTGGAGCGCTCGTGGTCATCTGTTAATGCGCAGAGCCTGAGACAGGATTTTCGGGTTTTGTATTAGTTAACGTAAGCCTAGCATGGCGTGAGGATTTGTGTCCAAGTAGCGTGCTACGTTTTCATGACGCCGTGTTAGCTGTTTGCCTCTTCACTGAAATTATGACATGAAGTGATTTACAACCCGACGTACAAAATTGCCCGTGTTTGAGGACAGTCTATCGATTCTAGAGACAAACGGATGTGACAAATTGCGCCAGTGCCTGTTGGCTGGATGTTAATCTGACCTGAAGGAAGCATCGGGAATAGCACACACAAGCCCTATAGACATCAGATGTAAAAGACATCAGATATTCGTAGATGTTCCAATGATGTTTTTGAAAGCTTGAAAGATATCTAAAATGCCTCTGTTGAGCGACTATAAAAAGACCATTTCCTGCTTTTATTCGTTGGTATGAAAGGCTAGGACCGGCTTTGTCAGCAGACACGTTTTCAGCCCGCCATCCCGTTTGGAGCCCTTTAAACGGTTCAGATAGGTCGGCCTTCGTAAAAGTCTTCAAGTTTTACCCGAGAGCTCGGTCCATCCGACCTGCAGACTGATAGATGCTATCACCATAGATGGACTTGGCCATGCACAATGAACCCTGCTCCCGGCTCCCATTCGGCTGCAGGGCCTGAAGACTTCCCCGCTGCGATCGATTCAGGCGGGGTCCGATCCGAGGCGTCCGGTGCGTCGGCGGCCGCTTCCGCGCTGTCAGGGCCCGCTGCCAGCGTCCGTGGGTCCGCAGGATTCCGCGCTGTCAGGGCCCGCTGCGAGCGTCCGTGGGCCCGCAGGATTCCGCGCTGTCAGGGCCCGCTGCGAGCGTTCGTGGGCCCGCAGGATTCCGCGCTGTCAGGACCCGCTGCTAGCGTCCGCGGGTCCGTATGATTCCGCACTGTCAGGGCCCACTGCTAGCGTCCGCGGGTCCGTATGATTCCGCGCTGTCAGGGCCCGCTGCTAGCGTCCGCGTGTCCGTAAGATTCCGCGCTGTCAGGGCCCGCTGCGAGCGTCCGTGGGCCCGCAGGATTCCGCGCTGTCAGGACCCGCTGCTAGCGTCCGCGGGTCCGTATGATTCCGCGCTGTCAGGGCCCGCTGCTAGCGTCCGCGTGTCCGTAAGATTCCGCGCTGTCAGGGTCCGCTGCTAGCGTCCGTGGGTCCGTATCATTCCGCGCTGTCAGGGCCCCCTGCTAGCGTTCGCGGGTCCGTATGATTCCGCGCTGTCAGGGCTCGCTGTAACGTTCACAGGTCCGTATCGGCGCGGAGCACATCGCCGGACGCGCCACGTCTTCAGCAAGTGTTTGTGGGAAGCGAAGTCACATGTCGAATGTCGGATTGCTAACAGTCAAAACAGAAGGCTCAGTTACATAAACCAAGGAGGAGTTAGTATGGCAGACATCAAAATCGAAACGTAAAACCAAAGATTGGAAGGTGAAAGGGAATATAATGCATCACCGATCAAAGCAAATAAATTTAAAATGAAACCAATATTTGAAGGCAAACAGGACAAGAGAAAACTGTCGACAGTGGCAGAAATTTACATGCGATAAGTTCCGAGGGCAGGTAAACAAAATGGTCGGCGACAAAAGGCCGCAGCGACAAAGCAAAAACCACAAACGTTTGTGGGACCTAAAACAAAATAAGATGCACCGAGAGCCCATCGTAGTCACAAGAGGTTCATTCGGTCCAGACGGGAAGAAAAGTGCGAACGGAATGGGACCGGATCGGATCGTGATATACTGTTTGTAATGTACACATATCTGACCGAACAGACACAAACAGGCAAGCATCGGAGGCGGGACGGGGTCGGACTAGACCGCATCGAAACTTATTCCTGCCGCAGTCTCACCATCCCAACTAACATTGAAAAGCTTTCTCACTGCATCCTTTGACCGTTTTGGTCTTTCATCGTTTAGTTTGATCTGTTCTGACTTTTTGCGACTTAACGGTATTTCCATTATCACGCATGTAGGTCCTGACTTGCACCAAATTTTCTCTGGTCTTTTCAACTTTTCCTTTTCGATGTTATCTCATTTATTTGATATCCTTTATTTGGTACTGTGTTGCGAGTCAACATTTGCTACTTCTCGCTGCATATTTTTCGCTTTTAGTAATCTTATCCAGACGTCAAAGCTGGCACAGACTCGCGACGTTCAGACCAGACACACGCTTACTAAAAATAGCCGAGGGCTGCTTCCGGAGTAAAAAGCTCGGCGGCGGAAACGGGCGCATCCACCAGATTCGGCATGGATGTGATACAGACACTTCCATGAAGGGTTTCATATCGTCCAGCACTCAGTATGACATATATGCAAATCTACATCACCTTGTCAATGACAATAGCGAGTATTCAGACGAATACGAGATACGAATGCGATTCATACAAATACGAGAGACAATAACGAGAGAGACAGTGTTATCACTTCAAAAAGCACCGAGCCAACAGAAAGATTGGGCTCGATATATGCAAATAGCGTTACAATGACTCCTCTCTTTGCAACAAATGAGGTGCAGGGTTCTGCAAGGTCTGCCCAAGCAAAAACATCGTGCTTTTCGCCCTGCGATCAGTGCTGCGTGGTGCCTCCGTGTTCTAGAACCGCTCGCCACAGATCCCGTCAACGTCTGAGAACCGCTCGCCACGGATCCCGTCAACGTCTGAGTATCGCTCGCCACAGATCTCGTCAACGTCTGAGAACCGCTCGCCACAGATCTCGTCAACGTCTGAGAACCGCTCGCCGCGGATCTCGTCAACGTCTGAGAACCGCTCGCCACAGATCCCGTCAACGTCTGAGTCGACGATGGCCGAAGTCGTATCGTGTACTTGTGTTGTTCTTGGCTCTGAGATCCATTTCAGAGTGTGTTCGAACGTTTCCACAGAGCCCATGTTCTGACTATGTAAATGCGCGTCGTTGGCTGATTCTGAGCGTTAACCAGTACGAGCTTGACAGCCCACCAGACTGTATCCCATGACTGTTGGCGGCATCGGTGTCCTTCCAGCTCCATACCACTACGCGGATGCAACACCGCTTGCATTGAAACGAACACCATCACCATGCGTTTCCTGGCCCATCTCTGATAGGAAAAATCATCACCCTAAGCTTTTTCGCTTTTGGCTTTGATTTAATGGTCCCTCTTCTCAACCATTTACGATCCACATCGGATTGGCCTTCTTGCCGATGCAATCTTACGAAAATCCCACTTACGAAACGCCCATTTTATTATCTAGCACATACAACAGCGGTATAGCAGAGGAGCGCCACCAAAAAGTGGGGTGTTGTATGGTGCCCTGCAGCCTCGCCGTGCTGCATAGCCGCCGGGTGCTCCCCTGCGAAAGGTCACCGGGTCACCAGACAAACTGACCCACCAGACTCGCCAACTTCAGAAGTCAGTCCCGGGAACATTCGACCGTCAGGCAGCCAAGCACGCCAGTTAACATTCCGCAAATACCACAGCAAACGGCTCTACAGTATCGGGAAGCGTCTCTGTCCCAGAAGTGATTTGGCCGTCGCTCACGCGTTTGTGAGTCCTTCACTATTGGTGCATGCTATGGTTTATAGCGCAAGGTGGAGCTGACATTCGAAATAAACGAGCGCGTAAAACCTCCGACATGAAACTTAAGGAGTCCGTGTAAGCCCTCCGGCCATCGCCTTCAACTTCCCGCAAATGCCCCCCCCCCTTCCCCCCGCCCTCCCCGCCAACACACCCTGCCGTCGCTGGCCACACCCGTGCCGCGGGCCGCCCGGCCTGCACGTACCGCTGATGACGTGCACCTGCACGTGGGCGTGCGCGGCACTGGCAGGCGCGCACGTGTACGTGCCCGAGTCCTGCCTGCCGGCGCTGCGAATCTCCAGGCGGGAGGTGACGTACTCGGCGGAGGTCTCGGTCACCCAGCGCTCCGGGCCGAGCGGCGCGCCGTCCAGCAGCCACGTCACGTTCGCTGAAACACGTGCGGCAGTGTCCGCTGAAACCGGGGCTATCGCGTCCGCTGAAACCGGGGCTATTGCGTCCACTGAAACCGGGGCGATCGCGTCCGTTGAAACCGGGGCTATCGCGTCCGCTGAAACCGGGGCTATCGCGTCCGCTGAAACCGGGGCTATCGCGTCCGCTGAAACCGGGGCTATCGCGTCCGCTGAAACCGGGGCTATCGCGTCCGTTGAAACCGGGGCTATCGCGTCCGCTGAAACCGGGGCTATCGCGTCCGCTGAAACCGGGGCTATCGCGTCCGCTGAAACCGGGGCTATCGCGTCCGCTGAAACCGGGGCTATCGCGTCCGTTGAAACCGGGGCTATCGCGTCCGCTGAAACCGGGGCTATCGCGTCCGCTGAAACCGGGGCTATCGCGTCCGCTGAAACCGGGGCTATCGCGTCAGCTTTGACCGCTGAAAAGCGCGGCACGGCTTCTGTTGTCCGCTGAAACACATCCCAGCTCCGTCCGCTTAAACACGCCAGCTGACAAGAACGAGTCAGCTGAAACACGTTAGCTGAGACCGGTGTCCGCTGGAACACGTTAGCTGAGGTTGGAGTCCGCTGAAACGTGTTGGCTGAGGCTGGAGTCCGCTGAAACACTTAAGCTGAGGCTGGAGTCCGCTGAAACACTTCAGCTGAGGCTGGAGTCCGCTGAAACACTTCAGCTGAGGCTGGAGTCCGCTGAAACACGTCAGCTGAAGCTGGAGTCCGCTGAAACACTTCAGCTGAGGTTGGAGTCCGCTGAAACGTGTTGGCTGAGGCTGGAGTCCGCCGAAACACTTAAGCTGAGGCTGGAGTCCGCTGAAACACTTAAGCTGAGGATGGAGTCCGCTGAAACACTTCAGCTGAGGCAAGAATCCGCTGAAACACGTCAGCTGAAGCTGGAGTCCGCTGAAATACTTCAGCTGAGGTATTTCAGGTAAGCTGGAGCACGGAGCCACAGCACTGTCGCCGGAACAGGGCGAAGCTCGCTCCGAGTGATGCCAGCTAAAATGCGGAATTACCCACAAAAAGCCACCTATGAAGCATTGCTATGTACCTACAAAAGTAACCATAAGTCGTATAGATTAAGTCAGAGAGCTCTTCGTAGAGTGCAAGAGCTGATAAATGTGTCTGATGCAGCTCAGGTTCTTCGATTTGTTCAAGAACATGACATCTATTTTCAACTGTGCGTAAAGCGGAATCATTGATAAGGTTCACACAGCGTTCTTCAATTTTATTCAACACACGTATTCAATAACGCTGCGGAACACAATTTGGACAGAAGAAACACATTATGGACGGAAATGTGCGGATCGGGGCAGAAATAAAAACCTAATCCACAGCGTCTTTCTCTGCCCCGTTTCCACCTACCTTCACTTTTTGTCGGCATGTTCACCACACATGTGAGACGAAGCGTGGAGTCTACCTTGGCGTAAACGTGCTGCGGCCCTTGAATTGTGGCAAACGCATCTGGAAATACCAATCAGCATCACGTTGAGACACGCTGCTCTCATACCCGATGTCCGCAGACGGGTCGCGCGTCGAACTCGACGCGTTTCACCAGCATAACTGAGCCGGGAGTGTGGGGGGCGGCGCAGTCGCGGGAGCAGCGGCAGAGTCTGACGGCGCGTGACTGGCGGACTGACCCCACGGGAATTCGACCCGGCGGCGTGACCCTCCATGAGCGCGTGCTCAGTGGTCCGTGGGCGGCGGAGTTCGGGTCCGTCCACAGAGCCGGCCCTAGCACGGGGCAGCTCCGACATTGGCGCTGTCCACGCCGCTCGTTTGAACCGCAGTTACACATTGGCCATGGGTGAGAGCGCGGCCAACGATGCGTGTATATGCGCGGGGAGGCGTGCTTGTTTACAATCATGTTTACTATCAAGCTTTCTTTGTGGATTGCAGCTGGACCAGAATATGTCACTGTCCTATAAGATTTTGACCTAGGATGGCCAACTTGGAGCAGGTGTGAGATTACTCAGAATGGCACGCTGCGTCTCACAATTCCCTTTGTGGTGCACTTTCTGCGATCTGGTCAATGAGCTACAATATCCATACGTAATGTTTTCGACAACAGCGATTCTTAGGAGTGCCGCGTGGCATGCGATATGGCAATACGACTGACGGATGTCTGGCAGGCCCGCAGCGTGAATGCTGAACACCGTTAGGGAGACTCGCAGGTGGGCGGTACTGAGAAAAGCTGGCATGGCAAAGGTACCGGGGTGGACGTCCGCCAATGGCGAACTGTTAGCATAAAGTCGGTTCGACGAAGCTTGGCGCGGTCGCTGTCACACGAACCGTGCTGTATTCTCCACCCACGGCAGAGCTGCTAGCAAGTCATACCTTTGAAACAATCGCTGGATACAGCGGGCAATGCAGGGAAGTACAACAACTTGGGTACATTTCAAGTGATGCGGCACTGGTCGGTCACCCACGGAGTTTTAATATTACGCAAGATATGTATGGCGATATGTCTGAATTATGATGCTACTGAACGACCGAATGACCACCTATAATCACGTATTATGCCCGATGCACACTATTTATGTGCTCTGATTAGACGACACAGTATTACAGGCACGTTACAGGAGCCTCATGATGAAAACTAACGCAGTGTTTAGCTTTATTGTTCCTTTTACACCTTTGGTTTCGTAATTCGCCTGTTCACATATCATGAGCAGCTACGTGAAACATTTCGGCTGTACCTCAGAACAGGAGTCGGCGACCGCTCCCATGACCGAAGTGACCGCGACTGTTATAGCCGCACCCCTGCCACGACTGAGGCCCTCTGCTAACCTCATGGTAGCCTGACGTGCCGGCAGGACATCCGCCGCAGGCAAGAGGCTCGACGAGAGTGCCCTCAGGTGGGGACTGGCCGGTCATCACACAGGGTGCACCTGTTTAATGTTACCGTCACGCACGAAACAGAGTTGGACTTGTTCGCGCTGAGCTGAGAGCGAGAAAGGCAAAACTGATGCAGTCAACAAGGGTAAAGCACGTCAGAATCGGGACTGCTCCCTAGTTGTAGCTATATGCGCAATGAACTCTCACCGAACATGGCACGCGTCCGATTTACGATGTCGCAATAGCCATTTGAGCAGCATCTGAGCAAACCGTTAAAGGAGAAACCACTTCCTGCTCCAATCACATAACTTTTTTGCGGTCGTTAGTGACGTGGATCTCGTCGCAAAACGTGCGATTTCTTACATTACTGGGAGGAGGGAGAAATACACATAGTCATATCCAAGGAACCAGCTGGATAGCCAGGGCGCACGGAGTTCAGGACGAGGCCCTTTGATTCCGAGGCGGCACTGATCTGCGACTGCCGGCTATCATACACAAGCATGCCATAGCTGGCTTGTGAGTGGTGTCCCCGCTTCCTGAAGCTGTCGCGTAGCCCAGTTCTGAATACGTCCTGCGGTCGCCGCTGGCGCTGCTGGCCTGCTTTAGAAGCTTCGCGAGCCACGGTATTCAGGGAGCGAGAAACGGGCGTTAACGAAATTATGATGCGGGAGAGGTTCTGCTTTCCGGCGCGCTTCTTTTTCAAAGCCGGAGGCGGCGTTCATACGTGTAAAGTCAGTACATCAAACAGTGGCTGGATTCGTGTGGAGATTGCGTTACCGCATGCGCGAAGTGACCAGTGACGTGAGAATCTCTAAATCAAACCAAGTTGCGGCGCAGCGTTTTTCAACCTAACTGCAGCGGAGAGAAAAACTGAGAGACGCTGCTTTGAGACAGCGAGGCCAAAGCCACAGATATCATCTTCCAACCGGCAGAGGCGTGGCCAGCTGAAAATGGCGGCAAACAGCACAAGCGAACCAAATGCGAGAGCACAAATAGAAGAAAAGACACCATCAACTTTTGTTACCAAACCAACCATTGCATAGGAAATATAAATGTGGAAGTGACGAACCATACTGCGGGGTAGGGTGCCCCCGCAAGAGGGGGAGACCACGCTAACAATGGTATCAAGCGTCGAGCAAGGCCCGGAAGGGTTTGGGGAGCCCAGGCATAGCCATTTTGAACGTATTGCGGTAGGTAGGGAGCTGCTCGACGTCGTGCTATGCAGCTGTTGAAATTTAACCAGCTGCAACCGAACCATGAGCCGACAAAATCCTCCATGCACAGGCCACTACTGTCTTTCAAGATCTTAACACCCAAGATGAGCCATGTTGCACTCATCACTTGAAAATAGATGGTCGATCGACAGGTTATTGTGAGAAGCGGACCGCAGTGGAAAACATGCTGGTGGAGGCCCAACAGCTGCCGCGACCCTAGGCCCTCAGCTCGAAACCACGTAGAGTCTTCGCCTGACTTGGTAGCGCGTCTACTGGTTTTCACGGTAGAGTAAACCACGAGATTTTATGACCCGCGAGGTCCGCAGCAGGGTCCTAGCATAATAGTCTCGATTTACGAACGCGTACGTCCATTGGTTCCATTCCCGACACAAGACCGGATACCCTCCCTCGCACATGTGATGATTGTGTAAAACACGATGCCGGGGTTTGTCGAATTCAGCAACCCTTACCTCAACGGTCAGCTGCCACGCATGGTGACACGCCGGTCACACGACTCCGAGCGATACTGGAGGCGTTGACCGTGCGCTGTACCCACAAACGTCACGCAAGACTGGGCTGGTAGACAGGCGTCTCCGGCAAAATAGGAGCTCTGATGAATCGGCACCCTAGGTACCCTGATTTCTCGCTGTATGTACACCGTGAATAGTATGTGTACCGGGCGACAGGTCCGACGATACGCTTTCGAGGGGCGCTTCTCTATGAGCCGGCCACTGGATGTTTACCCTCACGCTTCGGCCACGCAATGAAAGCCGAATCAGTAGCAGGTACGGGCGATATTTGCGCTAAGCACCAATCAGCATGGAGCAATCAGCTGATTAAAACATGCTTTGATATGACCACTCCGCGAGCATATGAACAATGACATTCACCAGAGGAGGGGGGCATCACCAAAGACAGCAACCATTCTTCAATGGAGTAGTGCAGGATGGCCGTTCCATCTTTCAAGAACGTTGTTGCAGGCATTGTTTCAGTGTCTAGTCGCACCACATCGTATGCACATCAAGCCTTTAGAAAATGCTCTCTCAGTCACACAACCTGATGTGCACTGCACATTGTAATGCCACGCTTCTCGGCCGCATTGCGGCGCTAGCTTACCGACCACTCGCAGGTAAAAGGCCAGAGACAGCTTGGGCTCCGTGTTGACTTGACATTCGTAAACACCGGAATCTCTTGCCTGCGAGAAAGAGGATGGTCGTCATTATCCACCCATACATGGATTTAGTTTCAAGGCTGAGCACTGGAAAGTTTCTATCTAGCAGAGTTACGCCAAAAGCCAACATGGTTCATGACCCGGTGAGAACGGATATACAACGTCGCGTGAAATCACGTCCACCGGACAAATAGAACATGCAACTAATCTTTCATGCCATAAAAAAGCTGGTGTTCTTGGAATCAAATCTCTTCAAAACTTGTCGGTTTACAAACAGAATATTGCCGAGCACACAGAATATTGCCATTCTGCAATATTGCCGCTCGTATACCAGTGGAGTAGCAGTTAAAGCTATCGCGATAAACCGGAAGATGACGTCATAGATCCGAGCTTTCAGTTATACCCACTAAAAGCTGACAAACGGACTGGTTGAACGCGGGTTAAGCATATCGAAAGAGCAAAGAAAATAACTCCCTAAAGCTTCTACACAACTAAATTACAGGTGGCATAGTGCCTAACACATAGACGTCTGAGTGGGTGGAAAATAAGGTGGAAATTGATGGTGCCATAGTGCCATAGATACGCATGAATCCAAGTGCGGGGACACTAATGTACACAATCGAAGAAGCGAAGATGAAGATGAAGCGAAGATGTGCAGACTATTTCGCGCTGACTATTCCAAGGTTACCCAGGCGTCCATAACACCCTAATAACACCATTAAAATCGTTCAATTCCACTGGTCATGCGGCGTTCAAGGCAAACAAATATATAATTGTCGAATCGTTAGATGTGACGTCGTGAGCGCGATTTTCAGATATAGCGGTTGCCAAACGGCCCTCAATCAATGCTGTGCAGGACATTCCGAATTCTAATACAAATAACGTCCTATTCTAAATAATAATAGGTTGCACCTTCTTAGTTATTTAGGAAATACGACATGCATTTGAATAATTTAGGACAGCACTACAACCGGGTATATGAATACAAGTAAGCACCCTTAACTCATCGATAAATATGCAAGAACACCACGAGAAAGAGCCGAACACGAGCACCTACCGAAATTTGGTTTAACACACATCCAACACCGCCCCGGGCCACCCCTCGTCACGTCGAAGAACTTCAAATGAGTGCTGTCACACACGTTTCATGATGCAATAAAAAATAACATATTGGGAAGCATATTTACTAAATAGAGAGACTTTTTTGCCTCCAGCAGTTTTTCCATTTAAAAGTATACCAATGGGTATAACTGAGCTTATTTCATCAACTCTTACGCTTGCTCCAATATCTTCAAAGGCGGGATATTTCCTTTGAGACAGAATGATGCACCCATCATGCATGTGGGTGGTGAGGCGGACTTGCCGAACAAAGGGAAAACTTTGCAAAGAAAATCTCACGCTTAGTTACGACCAAATGCGGAAAACGGCCAACTGTGGAACCGCGGCGATATTTAATCTTCAATACGATCGATCCTGCGATACGATCCTTAAATGGCCCTGGATACGATGCAATCCGATCCACTATAACACGATTTTATCGCATGCAACACACCCATGTCGGTCTGTTCCAGGAAGCATCCCAAGTACGCCCGGTAAACAGGCCTTGATTGTTTGCTTCCGACCATTGATCGACGCATGCCTGTACTGGTGGACACGGACCTGCGCGTACTTGACGAGCAGAGTCCAGTTGGCTTCCTACTAGTGATCGACACGTGCCTATACTGGTGGACACGGACCTGCGCGTACTTGACGAGCAGAGTCCAGTTGGCTTCCTACTAGTGATCGACACGTGCCTATACTGGTGGACACGGACCTGCGCGTTCTTGACGAGCAGAGTCCAGTTGGCTTCCGACCAGTGATCGACATGTGCCTATACTGGTGGACACGGACCTGCGCGTACTTGACGAGCAGAGTCCAGTTGGCTTCCGACCAGTGATCGACATGTGCCTATACTGGTGGACACGGACCTGCGCGTACTTGACAGGCAGAGTCCAGTTGGCTTCCGACCAGTGTTCGACGCATGCTTATACTGGTGGACACGGACCTGCGCGTATTTGACGAGCAGAGTCCAGTTGGCCGATCCCTCCGTGTGGGCAGCCTGGTAGCGGGCGTCAGACGTGTAGGTGAAGATGTCCGTGGTCAGGATGTGCAAGTCCCGCTTCCTGATCCAAGACACCTGAAGCAGGATCCACGCCAGATTTGGGTTTGGTAAGACTCGAGCGGATGGGTGTTGGGAACCTGACAAGCAAGGCAGTTTTCGTACTATCCTGCCATCCCTATACTGCTTCGCTGCTTCCCTTTTCCCTCGTCTTCCGCTTTTCCCGACCGTCCTCGTTGCCCTCACATGGGTGCAGGAAAAGGGAAAGGTGTGGGGGAGGGGGCAAGTGGGCTAAGGTCCCTCACTTTTTAGTATGGGTGGGCCAGCAATGTGAACAGCCCCCCCCCCCCCCTCCCTCACCGCTCATACTTTTCAGGATTTATCTGCGCTTAGCTTACTTTGTGTTATCTGAAGGATGCATGCCGATTTACTTGATATAAGCAGGAAATGCCTTCAGCTGCTGGTTTTCTGGCAATATGAGTGTAGAGTTCTTATGCTGAGTTATCAACCTTCAGCGTATTAGAAGCCGCTGCCTAATAGTTATGAACGTTATAGTGCAAACACATCGTCCAAGCTCGTCATGTCGAGCTGATATTCGGGGTGGGTCATCCCGCCCTTCCGACTGAGCCCCCTGTGTTTCGTACAGCCCTTAGCGTAAGAATCGTGTATCGGTTATTAGGATGTGGAAGTTTGAATAATGTTTTATTTTTGACATATTTTTCGAGTCAGTGTTTACACAGATTCGGACCTTTTTTGGATTCAAGTGTTTTGGTTTCAAGTATATTTATTTATAAGCCTCGCTCAACCTTCTTCACTAATGGTGATAATACACGGTTTGTGTCTAATGTCCACCCTTGCCGATATTACGAGCGCTTGCTCCATAACGCCCTTTTACAAGAACCTCCTGGTGTACTGGATGTCGAAAACTCAGCATAAGGACTGAGTTCGACGCCCACCCGCTATCTTCCTCAACACGTACTGGACAGCATTGCTTCACATCGTAAATAGCAACCTCACTTGCTGACATATACAGCGGGCAAATAGATACGTATTGGAATACATCTCAGCATCCTTTAGAGGCCAAGGCCACGTTTTGTCTGTAGCCTCGGTTCCATTTGTCTGCCCGCTAGTTTTTCCAGAACAGGTTCACGATGTTCAAGATGGCTATATATGCCGGTTCAGCCAGTCCACCAGTCATCTTCTCAATACAAACTTAACAGCATTGCTTCATATTGTAAATGGCAGCATTATTTGCAGTTGCTTGGTACTTGCAGCGCGTGGTACTGCGCTGTTTTGTTCATAGCGCGTTGATGCCGGCATCTGGGGCAATGTTGCCGGTATGTATGGAAGGAGATGGCTGGGGGACCGGGTAAATCGGCCGTATATTCAAAGTCCCATTCACGATTGGCATTACCCGGTATTTCAGAAAGCCCGATATCTCACATTATATCGGTGTACATTTTAAAATTGACAGCGTCCACCAGGGGCGGATGTTTCCCACAGGCACCGTTGTTGCGCTATTTGCCTGACGGGTGTAATACAATGCACGATGGATACGCCATAGGCGTTTGGCGTAGTCCGGCATTTCAGGTAAAAGCAGGCATTTCGTATGATAGCGGTGTTTCATGATCCCAATCATGGATATGTTTGTTAAACATTGTATGAAGCTTCAGAACGCTATTGGGCGTTCCAAGCCAATCAGGACCAAGCCGAGTGGAGCTTGTGTGTTATGGCCGTCTTATGTTTGACGTTCGATCGTATAATCAGTACAGTGTATCGTGCTTTCGCCTCACAGAATAGTATCAGCTGCACTAATTCTTCATACGTCGGCCAAGTGGTACGTACTCCACACTCGTAAGCGCATTATTCATTCAGAGGGAGCCTCCAGGGGAAAGCCGGCATGCCCGAGCACGTGCCCGCAGCTGCCGCGGCCACCAGCAAAAGTCATTCGTTTGCACTTCGTGAACAGTTCTCGTTCCAGGAACGCGTGATTTCTTTAGGATCGCGTTTCGCGCAGGGACGAAACAGAGCAATGTCATGTGCTGCAAGCGACGTGCAGCGCGCGTAATGTGCTCGTCCAAGCGCCGCAATGCCGTATGCTGTCTCGAAAAGTCGATTGCGACAAACGGGGAAGTTTGTTGACCACACACACAAGCAAAATTTTGGAAGACATTCGTCGCCTTTTGATTAGGTCTTCAAGTGGTATTTGTGTTCAGTCACGACCAAGGTGTTGGTAATTTGAGAAGGTAGAAGAAATTATTCTTTCTTTTCCTTTTCATATCTTATCTTATTTTGTAATTTCTTTCGTTCAGCCGGAACTTTGCTATAGAAGGACTGTTCAAGACTGACGTTTTGCCCAGTTCGGCATATAACTTCATAAAAATCGAACTGGCGCTTTGCCCAGTTAGACGTATAACGTATATAACTGCAGGAGAAGGTCCGAGGAAGCTTTTCTGTGTTATCTGATGCTCTGACGCGGCCTCGCGTTGTAGCTGTGGGGACCCTCTCGTCGGCTTCAAACTGGCATCTGCCGGGTCAAACAATCAGTCGTCTCTGGGACTCAGTCCCAAATACCTGCCACGTGCCGGAATCGGGCGTCTAAACCGCCGGGGCACGGCTGTGGGAGCAGTCATAAAAATAAACGTATGATGTGATCAACGTGGCGATTGTTGATTACCGATTCGCGGACTTGAAACAGCTCAGGTGGGCGTATCTCAAAGAAGGGCTTTCATTCTGTGACCATTTGTCTTTTCCAGAGAAGCAACCGATTATGGGTTTTTTATCACATTGTTTTTGGCGGGGAGGCTTTAAGGCATTCGACTTGGTTTCTGTCTAAAATGTTGCGACAAAAACTTATTTCCAGAAAAATAGTCGGGGACATCCAGGCATATGAGAAATTTGGGGCACTATGGACCACGGATTAGATTCTAGAATTCTGTCCAGCGTTATCCAAGGCCATATCTCAGCACATGGACACGTACCCGGGTGGAAGGGTTAATACAACGCCGCTCGGGTGCGTGTGTGTGCGTGTGTGGGGATCAGTTTGACCCCTAAGATCTAAAAAACTAAGGGAAATAAAGACGAAAGATTCATCGGATAAATTGGCCTGTACGTGAACTCACTTATTTTCAATTTTGAGCCCCGTGGATCAACACGTTTTGGTCAAATCAGATCAAACAAGATCAAACTCCAGATCGGTGTCCGAAATCGCCTCAGAGCTCCTTATGCAACCGCCTTTAACATGTGTACTTTTAATAAGTAAAAGGTCACTGGTGTTTAGTTCAGGTCATAGGCGTAGGAACGTTTCAAAAAGTGGGGGGCCAAGCTCGGGGTGCACCTCAGAAACTTTTCCTGGAAAGCGAGCCCGATGACCGGGAGGGGGGGGGGGGGGGGGTAGGGATGGAGTCTGTTATCGCTCTTTATTCAAAGATCATGGTTGCTATGCTAGATATGCAGCTAGAGCTGTTTCTCACTGATGCACAATCTTGCCTATTCGACTCATGTGTCATTTGGCAAATAAGTCTATCCGGCTTCCCAAGATTATTCGTCCATTTTAAAACTGCCTTTCCTGGGGAGGCGGAATTCCACGGGTTGGTATTTTGGGTCATTGAGGAAGCATCTGCCTCCGCAGTGTAGACGCCAAATTACGGCATGGATATGGGCTGGTAAGAATTTTGAAAGTGGATCGATAGCTCTCAGTGCGACAGTTTTTTCACGCGCATTCATTTCGTTGGCTGCTTTCAAGGGACTTGTAGCAGCATTTTAGGCGGACAAAAATTCGGGAGCTTGAAAATGCCAGACACAATGCGACAAAAGTCATAAGACTGGAGATCCTCTTTTAAGAACCAAGCTACATAACAACGTCCATCTGTCATATGTTCCCTATCGGGGCCCTGCTCCTGTCTGCCGCCGATGACCACTGCCGTGGCCTGGATGTCTTCCGCATGACTGACTGCGAACTGATTGTATGGCTGCTTTGTTGCATACTTTTGGATCAGCTTTACTGCTGCACGATGTATGAAGCAAGTGTTGGACACCTGTAACAGCATCTTTTTCCGAATCATCTTTCCTTAGATCACGCCATCGCAGAAAAATAGCCTTCGGGAAGCTGTCTGCCTTAGGTGTGAATTGGCCCAACGTACACTTCACTGCCCATCATGCAACGTATACGACTCGATCTGCTTTTGTGTATAGGCAGAGGAGTGGCCAGGACCTCGCCAAGGGGAACACAAAGTTGACAAAAGTTTCTTATCTTATGGTGATTCCCCCAAATCCCCGGTTATAGCTTATTTGTTAACAAGCGACACGGTTTTCTTCGTTTTGTTGCTATTTTTACCTCGTAACCAGAACAGAGACCAGGAGCTACCGTGGGCTCAATTCTGTTTGTATTTTGAGGTCAATAAACTGCAGAAATCAGGCGTTGATCGACTGCATGGAATAAATCACCGGCGCTCTTAATTTATAATGATTAGTTGGCTCTTTTTAAACCGATAGAATTCAGAAGCTTTGTCAAAATGTTTTATCTGGTTTTACAGACATTGAGGGGATCGCGAAGGTAGATTGTAGATCGACATGTTTGATCCAAATTTGAAGATGAAAATTTGATTGCAGATCGTGTGGTCAACAATGTGTCTGAACATGGCCAAGCCATATTTGTTTGGAAATATGTGATATAATTCATGTAACGTGTTTTTTAACATGCGCACCCGCAAATCTTAGCAACAAAAACCTCGATACCAGGCGTTGCAGTCTCCATAGTCCGCTGAGCGTTAGCCCAGTAGCTAACTCTTAGCCGTGGCCCACCGGGGGACGAAAATGGTGACGCTTCTGAAATGATTACCTTTAACCACACATCGGCTAGTAAGACAAGTTATGTGACCTAATTTTGAGCATGCGCACTAAAAAATCTTAGAAACACAAGCCTCGACCTCAGGCGTTGCAGTCTCCGTAGGCCGCGCAGCGCCGGCCTAGTAGGTAATATTAAGTTGCGGTTAACGTGTGGACGAAAATGACGACACTTCTGAAAAGTACTCTTCAACGCTTCATGAAATCAGTTCTTACATTTAGAAGGCAGTCTG